GGGTATTCTGTACATTCATTCAATGCTTTCAATGTTTATTTATTAAAGAATACTTTTATTATATACAATATATGTAAAAAATATATGTGAAGATACATATACAACTCTGAAAACAGTGAATCAAATATAAAATAAAAACTAACGAAGTGCAAATAATGCTTAGCTTTAAAAAAAAATCTATTGTTAACTACCATGAGCCATGCAAATTCACAAGTATGGAAAGAAAAATTCCATAGGAATCAGCAATAATTTGTTACATAAAAATATATATAACTAGATAACTGCAAAATGCACATTACAATTCCAAAAACAATATTATAAAAGTTCTACATATTAACTAAATATTAGCTATATACAATTTCTTAAATGCACTTATCATAAAATATAATATTATTATGCAATTTGTAATTAAGGTCATAACATTATACAATTATAAATCATTCAATTTTTTAAAAACATAATCCATTTCAGGCCTATTTTGTGCCATATGATTAGTACACCATTTCCCCAAAACCATTAAATTATTATATACCTGCTTATCTTTCTCACCTGCTTTATTATCTATTAATAAGTAAAGATCATTATCATTCCAACTGCTAATAAAGTCTTTTAAAAATTTATTTTCCAATCTGGAATCATCATATGCTAACAAGCCGGTAGATAATTCAAATAAAACTATACCATAACTATAAGTATCCACCTTTGTAGATAATTTTCGTCCATGTAAAAATTCTTCAGGAAGATATGGCCTTGTTCCATGAATTTTACTCACCTAAAATAAATATTTAAAAAATGTATAATGTTCTAACTATCTATTCTCAGAATTCAGCTTTATAAAAAGTAACCATGTTAAAATATATCTTCTCAATTTCTCTCAGTTTAACATTTCTTGCTTAAACTACCTCAAATTTATTAAAATTCATACAATATAACTCATACAATGCTAGATAAATTTAATTTAATTTAACCCCCATCCACTCCTCATTTTTGCAACTTCTTTGTGTATCAAATTGACACAATGATAAAATACAATATCAATAAAATGAGAAGATAATTATTAATTTTGCTAATTATTTTCTTGAAGTGCACATAAAACAGTGCGTTCGGCATACTGTTTTTTTATATTGCCCTTTTTGTAGCAAATATTGTCTCACCTTTTGTCACAAGTTTTGCTATTAATAATAATAAGTATATTTCATGTTTAAAAAATAAAAATCACAAAGTCTCAGGTCAATCTTTTGATAAATGACATAATAATATCATCTTTTACTAGAAAAATGTTATAATTAACGCAAGGGATGAACAAGGATTAGGTGAATTGAGCAGTATAGACTTTGCTAATTATTACAGCAACTTGAATTGAACTAATCAAGCTTATCAAGTTAATTAAATTGAAAAAATAAGATAAAGCTATTAGCCTAAGCATACCACTCACAGAATTCTATTATATAATATTACTGTTTTAGAACAAAATATAGACTTACTTTCATTGAAGCTTTCTCAGGTCCTTCTCTTGCTAAACCAAAGTCACCAATTCTTGGTTCAAAATTTTTATCAAGTAAAATATTAGCACTTTTTATATCACCATGTATCAAAGGCTTCTCACCAATTGTATGCAAATACTGTAAACCACGAGCAGTTCCTTTAGCAATTTCATGACGCTGCATCCAAGTTAACGGTTGACTTTTATGTTTCACTAACAATCTATCTTCTAAAGATCCATTTTTCATAAGCTGATATACAAGGCACGGTGCTCTACTATCCAAACTATATGCATACAGAGATAAAATATTTTCATGTGGACAAGAATTTAAAATTTTGATTTCTCGAAGCGACTGCTGAAGTTGAAGCACATAACTTTCATCTGAATCAACTCCTCTTTTTTCGATTTTCTTAATAGCTACATCTGTATTTTTCCAAGAACCTATATAATAAATGGCCAGTTTTGTAAATTAATAATTTATGAAACAATAAGCTTATTTTATTTTTCATATTACCTCTATACACGGTTCCAAAACCTCCTTTCCCTAATATATTATGTTTATTCCATTCATTTGTCGCTATAGACAATTCATCATATGACACATGCGGTAGAGTTGCCTCTGCACGTGGAAGTATCACATCGTTGTTATTTCTTCCATTTATTGGGCTACGCTGTAAAGTACCTGGTAAAGGATAAGGAGCTGCCACGGAAGCAACAAGTAAATTATTAGAATTACTTGGAGTAATTCCAATCTGTATAGCTTGCATTGGTTGGTTTAATATTTTATGAGATGCTTCCTTAGTATTTTCTTCGACAAGAATTTTAGGTACATTTGGCTCTGGTGGTTCAACTTGATTAAAATTCTTGGTATCTATTTTCAACTCTTTAGTATTTTTATTGAGTCGTCTTCCAAGTATCCTTTGAAGATTACCTTCTCCATAATAAAGTAATTTATGAAACTTTTCTTCAACAAATGGTTTTAATGGAATCATAGATTGATAATGCTGCATTCTGGATAATAAAACAAACAATTCCAATATTGTATGATTATGATGACCCCACATCGTTAATAATTCATCTGTTGGATTTTTCTCTTTTCGCAAACTTTGTATTGTCAACACATCATATTCCATCCAAATTCCTGAAAGTATTTTTTATAATATTTATAAACGAAGATAAGTATTTTAACAAATCTTATTTTTTAATAATTATACTAGAAATGAATTGTAGATAATTTATGATAATTTTTATACTTTACCAGCTAACTCTTCCCATTTGTCATTCTGATTAAGTATTTTACAAAGTTCTGACCGTTCGAAAAACGGTAATTGATAAATATACTTAATTTTATCTGTAGAACTTGACGAAGTCATACTGCATAACAGGATTGTTTATCTATAAAAATTGCAGTTGTAGTAATTATAAAAAGAATTATTATAATGACTCATATTATACAAAACAAATTTTCCTTTCGAAGTACAGCACCATCTATTCACGTCAAGAATTGCCAAGCAAAGGATTACAAAATTTACCAGTAAGGTTGGTACGATATGTATGATGCAGCAATTATTTAACAATGTGACAAAATAGAAACACTAGAATTAATAAAGTAAATCAAAATATTGTTGTAAATAAAAATGTCTACATATCAAAAAGTTTTTCTTTCATTCATATTAAAATGATTGTATATGACAAATATGTGTGCCCTCTAGGGATTAAATGCCGAATCTAAAGCAATCGCTCACACAACTTATTAAGCGAGGATTTTATAACACCGCATACGCCATTTTGAAAACTGAGTTGCACAGAAAACGTTGTATATGTTGTGGAAAAGCGGCCCTTTGCACACTTTAAAAAATACAACATTCTAATTTCAAGATATAAAGAAATCACCAATAATGGCAGAATACTTGGCATCAATTTTTGGTACAGAAAAAGATAAGTAAGTAAACATTTCGTACTAAAAGTATTAGTTTGAATTTTTCTTACTGAAGCTTCATATTATTTTGTATTTGTATTATTACAGAGTAAACTGTTCATTTTATTTCAAAATTGGTGCCTGTCGACATGGTGATAGATGCTCACGAATTCATAACAAGCCAACTTTCAGTCAGGTAAAGACATTTTTCTTAACCTTTTCATTGTTTGCCTGCTTTATAATTACTGTTAAGGTATAGTTTTCAATTACTAAATTCCTTTAGTTTACGTTCAAAATGTTTATATTTACCTTAATGTCTTCCTTAATCTTTAATTAATAAAATAAAATAATTTGTTCGTTCCAGACATGTTTATTACAGAATCTTTATGTAAATCCTCAAAATTCAGCAAAAAGTGCAGATGGGTCACATTGTGAGTATATTATAAATATTTTAATTAATTTATCAAGTATTAATGTTAAATATATCATATTTATATTTATAAATTAAGTACAT